TGCCAATTTAGTAAAATATTTAGAGCTCACGTGGACGAAAAAAAAAATGCGATGAAAAACAATTGTGTGCCAAATTAGTTTTAAAGGCCCAGTGTGCAAAAAAAAAAAGGCCTGGAAGCGGCCATTTTCAGTTTACCAAAAGTCTATAAATTGTACTGTAAAAAAAAAATTTGACCATCTCACTTTTCTAAGAACATTAAACGCTAATATTAGAGTTTTCAAAAAAAAAACATTCATTTTATGGTGATATTTGGATACTAGAAGTATTTTGGTGTAAATTAAAAAAAAAAAAATAGGCTCGCAAAGCATAATGGTCCAAACTGGGCCTTTAATGTCGCTTTTAAAAAAAAAACTCACAATTTCCCTGTTAATTTCCTTTCSCATACTTTCCCATAATTCTAGCAAAAAAAAAACACCATATGTTTTTCCCTTCGTTATTAGGCCTAATACATCAACTAAAATCGAAAAAAAAAACTCACAAAATCGACTAAAACGGTTTGAGAATATCTTAGAATAGAAAAAGCGGCTTACACTGTTGGAAACAAAGTGGTTATTTAACTTTTTAATCAAACCAAACTTTATATCTAGATGTATAAGATTTGAGAAAGAAGGCATAAAAATCTTTAGTATTAGCGTAAAGATGAGTTAAAAAAAAAAGCAGAATGGCTGAATTAAGGAGCAGCAATCGCTTCAAATAACGTGAGAGCTAAAAAAAAAATAATGGTATTTTGTAATAATCCATTAAATTTTAAGAGAGGATAAAAAAAATAAAAAAAAAACATTACTTGGTATAAACAGGTTTTGACTTAGGATTTCGTTTTGGATTAAAGAAAAAAAAAAAGAAATGTTGAATTGATATTGTCACGTACGAATAGGAATATTTCAAAATGAAAAAAAAAAAAATGGCCGCCGACCTTCACACTTGACTCTGAGTATCAATAGCTCTAAATGAAAAAAAAAAAACACAAAAAACAAAAAGAAAACAAACAAGAAGAAGAAATGAAGAAATCATTAAAAAAAAAAATAAGCTTGCATCCTACTTCCATCCTCCTAAAAATCTAAATTAAAATACTGAAAAAAAAAATAATAAGATTTACAAAATCTCATATGAGTAAAATATATCATGTCTCTAATAAAAAAAAAAAAATCTAAAGTCCTCTAGGTTTTTGATCTGTTCAATTGAATGTACATCACTTAAAAAAAAAATTTCATGCAGTTTTACAATTGCTTTTTTGTGAGTTACTGGAAATTTCCAATAAAAAAAAAACAAATATCCAATGGGCTACGTTTTGTCGCTTAAGTGAGATCTTCTCAAAAGAAAAAAAAAAAAAAAAAAAAACACTTACTTTTCATGAGCTTAAAAGTACATTTTTACAGATAAAAAAAAAAAGATCGATTGCAATTTTATTGCGCCGTTTAAACTAATCGCTTTAAAACAATAAAAAAAAAAG